CCAGTGGTGGGTTTCAAAAAATTTTGGAACCTCTTCTATAGGTGTTGGCCTGCTTTCCGGGTCCACTGGTGGAACGTCTTCTAACCGGTTTGGTAGATTTGACGAACCGGTTCTACCGAATAGGTGCGAACTGGTAGGAACCCACCTCTGTATCAGCCCCACAAGTAAGTTGCCATATTTAGTGCAATTTAGCAATTTTATTTGGGAATTGCATATATTGCCACAAATAATTCTGTAAAAATATAGCTTTCATTATATTTTCTTATCCATTAGCATTCAAATTAAGACTCTAAAATTATTATTATTTCTATTTATCATGAACATTTAGCCTTGGGAGAACCTAATTCTACCAGCTTCAAACATTTACATTCAGGCATCCTGCATTTTCTACAATTATGACCAATTTTTTTAGTTATTTTCTATTTAACCAGAAATAGCATTAAATCAATTTATTTAAATCAGGAGCCAGTTGGACAACCTTGTAGAGACCAAGGGCTATATTTAACTTTTGGGGCAAGTGACTTAGGTTCACAAAATAGATGGAATATATCACATATCTAGCCATAGTATGTTTGTATAGGTTACTTAGTTTTAACTACAGCACAGCTATTTTGAATCATATTTTTCTTCACTCAGAATGTCAGGAAACTGTAGAGTTCAATTCAGAGGTGACTCCAACATGTTAGGAAGGGGCTACTGAAGCTGTACAGAGTTCTGAGGCCATGGTCTGACCACATCCAATTTAAAGAGTGATGTCAAAAGCAGCATGTTCTGGTTTTCTTAGTCTATGTGTTTTGAGAGTCGCCTAAGATTATACATATATTGCTAAAGCTAGATTATTTATGTCTCCTTTGTAATTTTTTGGGAATGACGTACACAAGTTCCTATTTGCAGCTACTATGGAAACAGTATTGTTAGAAAAGGCAAGTGAAGGTTAAAAAACTCCAGTTACAAATAAACAGGTAAGTAATGTTTGTGTAGAAGGAAAGTTATTCTAGACATCAGCAAGTGGCACCACAATGTAATATAAGACTAAACATATATGTTAAGTGCAATTAAGATTGTCTGATTACATTATCGACATACTCATTTCTCATACCCCACATTTTATCTTTGATGGATTTCTTTGAATATTGAATCTCCAAAATAAACATGAGGTAGGAATTGCATGGAGACCCTCCACTTGATGTTGTATTCATCTTTTGGGAACATTTTTAAGAACAGTTGGATGAGAAAAGAAGTTGAAGATGCTTCTTGGATTAGAAGCAAAATGTCTTCAAAGAAAAACCAGAAAGTCCAGTTGCCTTTTGAAAAAGCACCTTTGGGAGAACCATGACTGAAAATCTCGATAAATATTTGGATAAGAAAAAGAAGTTTTTTCCATCTATCTTAGAAATCTCACTCTATTTCCTGGACTTCAAAGCAAAATGGGAAGAATCCTGTATCCTTCTCCCTTCATGAAGAAAAAATGGCAGGAAATTTAGAAATTTAAAAATGGACAGAAACTGCTCTTTGGTGTGTTTAATGAAAAAGCAGACTTTGAGGAAGCAATCCTAAACAGCAGGGTGTTTTTTCCCCCAAATCTTCCTACTAGCAACTAAAACTAAAGACAAAAGGCTACTTTCAAAAACAATCTGTTGACTGTGGAACATCTACATAATGTCCCATTTAGTTTGTGGCAGGCATTTTTAAATTTGTGCACTATAAAAGGGAAGACACATTTATAAATGTCAAAAGCAAGTTGAAAGAGTGTAATTTGTTTTTCATTTCCATTAACATTCATTTAAAAAGTATTGCTGAAGGCAGAAAATGAAAAGTATGCACATTTCAATGTGCTTTAAAATATGAAATATTAAGATTCAGACCATATATCTTCAAAAATTAATGACTTTTGTATCATAACTTATTGGACTTATCAAATTAAGTTCAAATATTTAAAAAAATCATCAAAAGATATTACAACTTTCTTAAGGACTTCCAAAGATTTTAATAATTAAAGCACCATTTCTAATTACAGCAAAACAACATAATAGCAATCCTACCAAAGTTAAACATATAAAACCAAGAAATTGAGAGTTTGCTAAGTAAAGTTGTTTTGGCTGGCTGCCTAGAATAATGATACAAAATTATAAAATGCAAGGGATCAATGATTAAAAACAATTAAAGTCACTAGATCAGGAAGAAGAGAATGGAGACGAGGTTGTTGGACTTCTACTAAAATATACATTCAATTCAGAGCAACAGAAGAGTAACTTTATCTCCTAACAATAACTATCACAACCATTTGTAGGCAATGTTTACACATAATGCTACTTTTAAAGAAATAAACTGATCTTAGATAATGCAAATAAAAATTAAATGGCATATAAGTCCAAGTGCTATTGCTATCAGAGTGCCCCATATATTTAAATAAAAGGGGAGCAATCAATTGCTGACAAATCTCCCTCAAGAATTAGCAATATGGAAGAACATGGGCTGTGGTTTCTATGGCATCAGCATCCCAGGAGCAGTACTGAGCTTCATGTGGGGTTCTGCTGTATTTTCCTTCCAAAACAATATTACCTATCTAAACTTCCTACTGCAGCCTATTAAATAACAGTCTTGAAACTACTGTCAAGGTGGCCTCTACTTCTATTCCAATCCACACTGAGTATTAGAAATCTAAGAACTGCATAAAGTGGATCAAGATTTCAGACAACTCTATTATAACTATTTGTTCCATCGTATCCACGACAAGCTATTCTCTGTATGTTCCCACCGTCTTGCCCATACTACAAGTAATTTAACAACTAATCACCGAGCCACCATTCAAAGTTACAATGGTCCTCCCAGCGGGTATGACCAGTTCTGGAGTTCTGACAGCCGCAACTCCTCCACCACCTGTGGCCATGTGATCATATTTTGGGTACTTGGCAATCAGCTTGCATTTATGACCATTCAAAGCACTGTGCCACTGTGTTCACTTAACAATCATGATATTCACTTACAGACTGCCACAAAAAAGGTCATAAAATTAGCCAAGATCACATGGTGATCCACTTAATGACCACCACAACTTACAACAGTAATTCTGGGATCAATTACAATCATAAGTTAAAGACTCCCTGTAGCTCTACTCCTTCTCATTGTCAGACATATCTGAAGAAAAAATACCATGCATTTTGCTTAGCAAGATGCCTTCTTCGTGTACATTGGCATCCTAATTAACAATGATAAAGCAATCATTGTTAATTAATTAGATCAGCACGGGTTGGTTCCCCTTTAGAATTTTTATGTAGCATACCAAGATCAGAAGACAGTACTAGTAAAGGCGGACTTATGCTGAGTTATGCATTGATCCACTTCATATACAGGCTTTATCATTTTAAATTATATTATGAATATTATTTATAATTATGATTTCTGAAAGTATCTTCAGTGATGTATTTTGCAAATTCATAATCTAATTCCTAAATTATGCAAATACATAATCTAATTCCCACATCCAAACATTTATTTCCAATAGCAGTTTCTATTCCCTCAATAGAATGACTGAACTTTTTATCACATTCATCTGGCAGGTATTCTGTATTGCTTCTAAAGTATCTATCAAAGTAGATAGATAGATTATATAGTATATTACAACTCACGATGAGACAAAGAAAGCTGTACTAATGCATTTGAAATACTTCTTTAGTTATGTCAGTTCAAATCAGTTTCTTTGCTACTTAACATTTCTCTGGGGTTGTGAAATGAGTTTACAAGCCATTCAACATAATCTTATTTGCACACAATAAGTGTACAGGAGTTCATTTGTTGAACCACTTGTAAAGCTGTCTGGAACTCTCCATTGTGTTGAGCTACAACTGCCAATGTTTATCCAACACAGGACAAGTTAGTTGATATGAATTTTAACAACTCTATATCAAAACTTGGAGGCCATCAAGTTAAAGATCCACATAGGGTCGAGGAAGCATACAATCTGAGTGAGCTATGACTAAACAACATCATCCCTGCCCTTAGAGCATTTAACTTTTGTAAATTAAATGACATTTGGGAATTTGAGTCATACTATGAATAATCTTAGTTCCTCACGTCATTATCATTTTTGCAAACTTCAAGAAAACTCTGTAAAACTTACTTCAGATTTAGTTTGGTTCAAAAATATTCAAAAAGGCTATTTGACTTGTAAAAAAAAGGATATAGAATAATGGTAATCCAATACCAAAATGCAAAAAAATACAAATGGAATGAATAGGAAATTCATTATTTAGCTAATTGTTGACCTTTGCACTGCTAAAAAGAAGACACAACTTACAGCCAAAAAATTTGCAGCTCAAGAAAAAAAATGGCTAAAAGAATGGAAAATGGAAAAAAAGCATGAAGTGGAACATTTGAGCAACATGAGCTCATCCTGTTCCTAACTTGGCCTCTTTAAATATTTAGATGAATTTGCCCAGATCAAATCAGCATAGAGTTACAAGAAAAACAGAGAGGAAGAAACTGTCCTCCCACATCCCCAAACAGGAATTTTTTATCCCCAGTCATTCATCTTCAGATTATCTGACAAATTATAAAAAAGCTAACTGATTGACTAGGAATTCTGGGAGTTGTAGTCCCCACACAGCTGGAGAATATCATATTGGGGGAAACTAATGTAAAAGTGCAGGGAGCAGAGCCACCAGAGTTCAATCAGAAACTCAAAAATAACTTTTTTACCCTTCACTTTTTTTTCATCCTTAAGACCAAAGCGTTCGTTTGGCATTACAAACTAACTGGATTTTTAAAAAAAACCTATTTCACAGGAATGGCAGGTCGCCCTTCGGGATTTAGGAATCTCTATGGCTGAAAGTATCTCATTGTACAAATACCCCCAAAAAAGTGTCCTGCAAAATGGCGGTAGCGTTACAATTTATTTATATATTCATCAAATCGATTGGCTTCTTTCAAAATTTCTTCAGCCCTCTTGTAAATTAGATTTTAAATTACACCGCGAGGAGAAAAAACAAGGTAGGGCTTACCTTTGCCATGGCTTCGGGGATCGTTTAGGTGAAGAGCAAAAGCTGCGAAGGAAAATAAGGGGCAGAGGGTTACCCTTCGAGAATTCAAAAGAGCGGCCAACAAGTACCGCTACTCAGGAAACAAGCAAATAAACCCGACCACTTTCTTTGGTTTCCTCCGAGCAGCTCCTTTTTCGGAGTAACCTAATAGGCACCCACTCCAAATCGGGGGGGGGGGGGAGGAGCGGGTCTCTGCTGAACCTCAACTTTCGGCCACAGGAAACCGCCCGAGCACTTTCTCCTGTGACGTTTCCATGCCCTGTTGATCCAGGCTGGGTTCAGCCGAGGCCTCCGAGATACAAAGACCCGATACGTGGAGCAATTAAGAGCATTCGGCAATGGCTTCCTCCGCTGGATCTTTCGCTACTTTCTAGCCTCTGTTTTACCTCCACGCTCGAAAAGCAAGCCGATACGTACCGTAGCCTTTAAAATGAGGGGGCGAACCTGCGAGATGCGGTGGCCTTTAGGGAAGCAAGGGAAATGGACAGAGCCAGAGAAAGTGCGCGTCGCTCTCGCGGCCTGCCACACCCAGCGCTCAGATTCCCCCGCGGTTCTCCGTTAGACTCGATCCTGGTCTTCCTGCCTGGGGCCCCACCCCGAATTACTCTGCTACTCGGCGGGCCCTGGGTGCGGTTGAGTGTCTCTTTCCTTTTCCTCCAGCCTTAAAATATTTCGAAAGTCAGGGACTTAATATGCATGAGAGGAAGCTCTTTCTGGAACATTATTGGTCCTATGCGGAACTTGCTTTACACTCAGACGAACGCACCGCTTGCTGAACAATTATAATAACAAAGGACAATTGTAGTAAGATAGTTATTACTGTCCTGTGATCAAAGTCTCTATTCAGGGGCCTCAGTCACCCAAACGGGCATTCTTTGTTTCATCGTGGTAAAAATCACATCCCGAGTTTCACACATTAGACTACATCTATCTAGCTGGATCCACATAATATTTTCAGATACAAATAATGAAACCTGGTATTAACAAAGTTGAGAATTCAAAGAGATGCACTTCCCAGTAAATGGGTATAAAAGAAGAAAGGACTTGCCTATGCAAATATGTCCAAACAGGGCAAGCTCACTCTTTGAACAGAGTGAGGCAGTTGCATTGAATTTTGACTATTTTAGTCATTAATCATAAATAATTAAACATTATAATTTTTCCAAGTTTGTGTGGAGTTAAATTTTCTGTCTGGGGGATAACAGTAACTTTATAATCTCCAAAAATATGCAAACTATTTCAAGTGATGGCCTCCATTTGTTCCATTCTCTTGAAGTTACCCATTAAGACCAAATGAATTGTGTTATTTTTCTGCACCATTTTTGAAATAAAACTCATAAATAAGAAAAACAGATTTTAGGTATGCAAAAAAAACCTGTAACCAGAAATATTCCAAGTTTTTTAAATTGCCATTTTAAAATAAAAATGATAAATGTAAGCCATGTAATAAAATTTAAGACAACTAAGAAGAACTGACCTTAAGTTTGTTAAAGATTATACAACCTTGGGACTTCTTTGTGACCTTTCTGATAAGACAAAACAGAATCATCCATGTGCTGCAGAAACTAAGATGACTGAACTTAAATACTCTTTAAATCTCTTAGATAGAACCAAGGGAAATTCCAAATGACAGCTGAAATTCTTTGCTGCTCCCAGCTACACTGGAAAAAAACTTTTAAAACATTCAGTCTACATAAAGATGTGTTGGAAAGGGGCCAGGCTGGTGCTCAGGGTGGAGTGGGGACCCTAATTAGCCCTTAGCTCAAATCTTGATCATCCCATCCATCTTAAACTAACGCGAGTATGTCTATCAGTGTTCCCCTTCTACTTTGGGGGACTGTTACCACCTTGTTACTCCCCATTCTTTTCCTGGTTTTCCAGATGCTTGCACATAGTCATGGTTTCACATGCCTTTCCCATATTTTATCCTTTAGACCTTTCCTTCTTTTTTCCTTATGTATGTAAATGTATGTATATTTTTTCTTAAGATTTAACACTATTTAAAACAAATGTAATATAAGAGACTAACAGTTGGAAGGGACCTTATAGGTCATCTAGCCCAACCCCCCCTGCCCAAGCAGGAGACCCTTCACCATTTCTGACAAATGGCAGTCCAATCTCTTCTTGAAAGCCTCCAGTGATGAAGCTCCCACAGTTTCTGAAGGCAACTTCTGTTCCATTGGTTGATTGTTCTCACTGTCTGAAATTTTCTCCTTATTTCTAGATTGAATCTCTCCTTGATCAGTTTCCATCAGAGGTTGTTCACTCTGCCAACAAACCTCTCAACAACCTCCCCCAAAAAAAGATTGGATACTATGCAAGAATTGAACAGTAGAGTTAAATCTTTAGACAGTTTCTTGAGGAGATGCATTAATTAATACCTTCTTCAAAGACATCTTCACTTTCTCCTCTCAGAGCAAGTCATTCACTACAGCCCAAATTAAGGACAAGGACTACATGATTTTGGAGGCAAAAATCAGCCTGATCTTACCGGCTGGTTATTGGAATTCAATGTATTTAACTAGTATTCATTTGGGAAAGATTGTTATGAGTAAAAAAGCACACACTATGGTATTCCTCGAAATTACCACCTTCCCCATCCTGACTGCAGGAACAGATAAGGTCCTCCCAGTTCCCTGTTCCCCACCCCCACCCCACAAAGCTTTCCAACTTTCATTCAAAACTATTGTTTTTCTATCTATGTTACCTATAATTTGAGACCTTTACACTGGATGGCCTTCAAAGCTTGATTCCAAACTGACAGATGCAATTCACTTGGCTGCAGTGACTTTTCTCTCAAGGACTGGTCACTGTCCTGTGCACTCATTTCATCCTGGGCTGCCAGGCTGCTATGTTCTCTGCTGGTTGACAGCTGTCATTTCCCCCCATAATCTTCTTGTTGATTTAACAATGGGCTGTTAAGACAATGACCTATCCTCACCACTTGAAAGGCATGCTTCATTCAGTCCTTGTATCTGCCAGCAGGCACCCTTTTGGATTCCACCCAAGCTGGATGAAGCATGGTTCTCTGTCTAGAGTACTACAGACCTTTCATTTTCTTGCCTTCTTTTTTCTTTTCTTTTACGTCTTCAAATGGCAAGAGGGATGCTGCTATTTTGTTTCTATGATACCCCTCCTTGCTACAAAGTTTTCATACACCTATAGAAGGGAGAGAGAGAAAAGATAGAAAGAACAATCTTATCCTCTGTTGATTTCATCACTGAGCGGGCAAAGCCAGGATCATACCACAGAGGGAGGGAAAGGCCACTGTTACTATTAAAAATAATTTGCAGAACAATGAGTAATTCAATGCATTCTATTTCTATGCATTCAAATATCTGGAAAGGCAATGGCAACAGCCTAGAATAAGTGGAGGAAGAACAATACCTCAATGGCGATCCCTGGCAGGCTGGTTCGCACAAGAGCCAGCCAGCAAGGTTTAATTTATTTAAAAGAGATTATTTGTAGCTCAGGGTTGAAATGAGAGGTTCTTGGTGCTCTCCGTATTTGTTTTCTTGCAGATGTCTCATTACCCTAACTAGATATCATCTGTGTTGGTAAGGAGTCACTAGAACTGATGATGTTACCTAGTTAGGATAATGAAATTTTGCAAGAAAATAAACAAGCTCAGAGAGCACCAAGGACCCCCTCATTTACTTTGTCAGCCTCTGCTTCGCTTGCTTGCTTTCAGTTACCATGGAAATGGGGAGGGGGGCATGGTATTTGGGCTGGGATAATTGGTACAGGAGTGATAGTTAAAAAGGGAGTTTTGTTCTCACCATCTTCTGCGCATGCTGATGGCCGATGTTTGGACCTGGTGAAGGCCAAACATCCTGCATACCAACCTGATGATGCTTCTTGGAGATGCAACCCCTCCTGGCTGGTTTCGACCAGCAGGGAGGTGACACGTGGCTGGCTCCAGACGATTGTCAACATCTCTCTCCAGAAGGGATCCTTCCCGCACCTCCTAAAGGATGCGGTGGTGAGACCCCCTCCTGAAGAAACCTTCTCTGGACCCAGCGTTCTTGAACAACTATCCTCCAGTCTCCAACCTCTCCTTCGTAGGGAAGGTTGAGAAGGCGGTGGCCTTTCAACTCCGACGGACCTTGGATGAAACTGATTATCTGGATCCCTTTCAGTCGGATTTCAGGCCTGGTTACAGCACTGAAACTGCTTTGGTCGCACTGATCGATGATCTCTGGCGGGCCAAGGATAGAGGACACTCCTCTATCCTAGTGCTTCTTGACCTCTCGGCAGCCTTCGATACCATCGACCATGG